CACACAGTAAGTTTCAATGTCCCAAGTTGATTCAAAACCTAATAGTATAAGAACTTTACTCCTGCGAACGATACCCGTTGCCATTCACACTCACACTCACACCTCGCTAATTGAACCTCACGTGATTTTCGGTGCTTTCTGATTTCTTTCCAAATTGCCTTTATTTACTCACATCTGTCATTTGCCTCCATTGTTGGCAGCCTTATCGTGTGATTTACAAATGAGTTTAACGAGCCCCGTCAGCTGCTGTTTGGCAAAACTTTGATAGTCTAATCGCCAGTGGCTACGCTCGAGTGCCCCGATTTACGAGTCCTCCCCACGGTGCACTATATGCACATTATCGTCCAGCCAATGAACTTGAACAGAAGATTTCAGTCTGGGCGATAGCTGCAGTTCAAGAAGTGCAAGGCTTTGTTTCTGAAAGCGCCATATACTAGAAATGCAAGTAGAAAGATATTAGGAAAGTGCAGCATCTAACCGCATGAAAAAGCAACCTTGAGTTAGTTTCTTGCTGAGTAAAGCCACTCACTGCTTTAATCACATTTTAATAGACGTCTAATATCGTCCCAAAGCCAATATGCGGTGAGTCACATCTTAATTGGCTGGCTGCCCCGCCGCCTGGAGGGATCTTTTTTGGTTACATCATTGGTGGAGGAGAACGGAATCGATTTTGAGAAATTACATCATCTTGTAAATAATCTGTGTGCTGGGTGGCAGAATGCAAATTACACAGTGCTTTGTTGACTCAAATGAGGCAAATAATTGGCAATGTATCAGCAAATTGTTGCCACCAAAAGCGCCCGGGGGCATCAGAAGCAATCCCTCAGTTCTCCACTTGCTCCTCCATCGCTTTTTCATTATCATCATCCTGCCTTCGTTTTGGAAAAACAATCAAAGCCAAACTGTTTGTCGTGGGCGATGATCAGGGTCATTTCACGTCCTCCGATGGCGTCAGCTGCAAGTTCATATGCAAATTTAATATTTGAATTTGCTGACTCCTGCTTCCTTCCTCTGCAAACCCATCTTTGACTTGGGCTAAGCAAAGCGAGTTTGTTTTGCTCCAATTGTGCTGGCATTTCATAATGCAGCTCCTCCACTGACGTAATGGGAGTGCCACTTGTGCCAATATTGGGTCGGCATTGACCTTACCGGGTGGTTCTGCTCAATAAATGTCAACGTATGCTCACTGCTGGGCGTTCTTATCACTGGAAACCAGACACTGAAAGAAACTAATAAAACCCGCAGCCGTCTCACTTCGATGATAAGATTGCTTCTGCCTTGAAAGTAATCTGTGCACCAGCTTTTATTACCCGAAGAGTTTGCCATTATTTAGCAGGTTGTTGATCTTTAATTTCCACACACCCAACTGTATTAGTTATCATCTTATAATCCTGTTTTCTAAGAGCTTATAAGCACATGGTTCTAATCAATATTTCTCCGCTTCCTTTTGCAGCCCTCGCTCTATTTGAGCACGTGAATTTGGTCTATGGAACTATTAGTGAATTTTGTACACAATCCGGTTGCGCTGACATGACCGGACCCGGCAACAGGTGAGTCCTGATCAGATTTTTTGCTCAATCATGTGTCAATAACTATGTGTGTTTTCCTGATGGCAGAACGTACTTATGGTTCGACGAGAAGGGCAAGAAGACGCGCGTCGCAGCACCACAGTACATCGACTATGTGATGACGTTCACCCAGAAGACGGTCAGCGATGAGTCGATATTCCCAACCAAATACGCCAACGAGTTCCCCGGCTCGTTCGAGTCGATTGCGCGGAAGATACTACGCTTGCAATTTCATGTGATAGCGCATCTGTATGCGGCGCATTTCAGAGAAATCGCGCTGCTCGGCTTGCACACCCATCTAAATCTGACGTTCGCGCACCTCACCGCTCTGCACCGGCGCTTCAATCTGATCGACGAGAAGGAGACGGACGTGCTGCGCGACCTTGAGGTGGCCCTGCGCCTCACCGACGACACCGGTGGATGCCAGGATGCCACCTCCACGACGTCGTCGGTCCACGACCACTCCTCCGGCGATCTCCAGCATCAGGCACTGCAACAGCAACAGCAGCAGCATCAGCAGCAGCAACACCACAACAGCAGCAGCAACAGCACCTCCTCGGCGGAGGCGTTGCACGTCAATTCACAAAGCAACAATGGCAGCACATCCGCCTCGGCATCGGTATCCCTGATCGATGGCGATGCGGTGGCGCCGCCAATTTGCACGCAACCAGAGGCGGGAGCGGGCTGCAAGCCAGCGGGCAGCAGCGGATTGCTGGGCGGCATACTGGGCGACCTGACCAGCGGCGAATTTGGTGATACAACGCGCTACTGCACCTCGGCAGTTCCTCAGGCGGCGGCGGCAGCAGCGGGCGCGGGTGGGGGTGGGGTTGGGGTTGGGGCAGCGATCGGTGCCACGGATGCTGCCGCATTGAACAACGGCGCGGGCGCACTACTTTTAAACTTTAGCAACAATAATAACAATAATCATAATCTGAATCACCATCACCACCATCATCACCACCATGGCCACCATGGCCACCATCACGCGGCCCAGCAGCAGCAGCAGCAGCACAGTGGACTCATACAGTGCAATGCAGCAGGCGGCGGAGGGAATGCAACAGGGGTAGCCACTGGCGGAGCAACTGCAGCAGCGTCCTCGACCACCACGGCATAGTGGAGCAGTAGCCACGAAGAGAGCAGCAGCAGCAGCGGCAGCAGCAGCAACAGCAACAACAAAAAACATTAGAAATACTAGATTTACGCAAAAATGTTATTTAATGTTACTTCTATGATCCTAAAGTTGAAAATATTGTAAAAATAATAAAAAAAAAGAGAAAACATTAAAATGCATAAGCAGCTAATTGCAAACAACAAGCAGGCATTACATAACTGACACACAGCTACTAAGTTATTCAAAAGCTAATCGAAGTTGGCATCGTAGTTTCGTAACGTTGATTTAGATATGTACTTATTGTATAGAACGACAGAGAGAGCTGCAAGCATAGAGTTTAGAGTTGTCGCGTGCTTATGCTTTACACGTATTTTAACCTTTCTCTTCTGCAACAAATAAAATGTCCTGACTGAAGCCAGAGTGCAAATGCAAAGTCAACGCCTTCAAGGCAAACATAATAAAGAGTTTTGAACTGCTACAAAAGATGATAAGTGATCGATCGCTCTACAAAAATTATACAGCAACAGAATGCTTTCATTTTAGCTTGGTTTTCTTTAAGTATTGTTTAAAGCCAAACTTCTTACATTATTTACCTCAAGAAATACGTTGAATAAATCTAACCGACATAATTATAGTTGTTTCAAAACGTAGCACTTTCTAGTGATTAGGTGAGACTTTCTCATACCTTTGCGGTAACGACTTCCGTTTTCGTGTTTAGTTTCAATCAGGCGTTTTAGTAGGCACCCAATTAGTTGGTTATTGTTTAAGGAACTGTAACTACATTATTTTGTAATATATTTTTGTTGTAATTCGAATATAAGCAGAGTCACATTTTAATATAGATCGAGTACTGGTTCAATTGTTCAGGAACATAGACACACATATTCTACTAGGCGGTGAAACGCGTTTTAAAATAGCTAACTCACCCGTATTTTACATGCAGTGTACTTGGCACAGCCAGCCTGAAAGTATGCACCGAAAAGTTAACTACACAAACTGCAGAATGGCGCCTACCGGTATGCACCGAATATGTCACGACTTACGTACCACACTTCACCCACACACATCCACAAATCGCACCGAATAATCTCCGAAAAGTATGCAGCGGAAATCACAATCCACACGTTGTTAAAGTATGGCAATTTTAAACCAAGTTTGCAATGAGTGCAAACATTTAATAATAAATATGTAGGAAGATACCAGATTTATGCTTCGGATTTCTAAACAATTAAACAGACGGGACTTGTATGTTGTGCTGTATTGTGTTGTGTTTATATACCCATAGCAAGAACCAATGGCAATGAAGAAAACTTACTTTAGAAACAGAAACAGATGCGCTCGACGTAGAATATTAGAAGCCAATTTTTGTGTATTACAACGGTTCACCTGTCCCGATGTAGATAATTGCAACTCGATCCACTCCAGTTTCACTGTACTGCTGTCCAGGCCTAAGCTACAAAAACTATACTCTTAACGACACCCACTTTCAATCTGTTGAACTTTGAATGCGATGCAATGAACTCGAACAAAAACACAAGGCAAATGATACATGTATTTATATGTAGGTATGTGGGTTATTAATAGAATACAGGTGGAATTAAATGCAAAGACAAACCTTTTAAGTCAGCAAAAACAAATGAAAGCAAACATGGCAAAAGCATGAGAAATGATAATAAAATAAACTGTTATGTTCAATCGAGATGTGATGTTTTATTACTGGTTAAGCGGAGTATTACTTGCTGCACTTGAATTACTTGAAGTATTACTATCCTGCGAAATCAAAAATCAACAACGACATCAATTTTCTGGGATTTTCAAATCAACAACGCAGGTGGGCAAGCCTGGATGCCACTGAAAATATATCGCGCCTCGTCTGGACACAGTCTAATCCCGAATCGTATATACACATTTGTATCCAATCGCAGATATACTTGATACAAATTTCAAGCTTTGTTCTAGCTATGGGCTATGAAGAGCTACAATTCATTTATAAAGCAGGCCTACACATATCGGAACTTGAGTATAATTCTTTCTATCCTGGGCTTCAAAATTAAAACCTATATTACGTATCTTGCTTTTGTGAATATAAGCCGCCAATTCACGAATTGTTTACCAAACGTGTTTACAAATTAGAAATGCTGATAAACAAATCGGCACAAAACAGCATTCTTATCACCATTTCAGCTTCACAACGTTAAATACTCAAAAAAAAGTTTATATTCGGTTGTATATGAAATTATAACTATTACAAATTGAAATTCTCTGTTAAATTGTTTTTACTGCTACTTTTTCTTTTAGTATACCCTAATGTTTTTATTACCTCAAATAAATAAGATTTTGTTTTTCTGTGTAACTTTGATGTATCCCGCTGTGAAAGTGATTGTATCTCACACTCACATAGGCAAATTCATTTTGTTGAAAGCCGGCAATCTCAGAGAACCATTCTCCGCTCAAAACATTTCCCAGTTGAGTTTGAATCACTAGGCGAGGCGGTCGCATCAGAGTAAGCCAAAAATCAGACCGTCGCCTAATTGAGGAAATGGCAATCTCCGCTTGGACGCTTCTGGTGGCGCTGATCGTCGTGTGGATTTCTGGAGCGGAGGTCGACGCACAGGTGCCGGGTCCACGGACTCGATACCAGCCCAACTGGAGCAGCTTGGACCAGAGACCACTGCCCCAGTGGTACGACGATGCCAAGGTGGGCATCTTTCTGCACTACGGCGTTTACTCTGTGCCCAGTTTCGGATCCGAGTGGTTCTGGACCAACTGGAAAAGTATGAATGTTCGAAGAATGTGAATCGATATATAGATTGTAACATTTGTATAACTTCCCTTTCAGATCTCCGTAATCCAGAATACGTCCAATTCATGCAGCGTAATTACAAGCCGGACTTCACTTATCAGGAATTCGCGAGCCAATTCACAGCGGAGCTATTCAATGCCACCAAGTGGGCGTTACTCTTTAAAAATAGCGGAGCCAGGTACTCCCACACACACACGGTGTTATCTTACAATTCAATGCCTCCGATCATTAATCCTCATTAATCTCCAGATACGTAGTGCTCACCAGCAAGCATCACGACGGCTTCACGCTGTGGCCCTCGAAGAACAGCTACGGATGGAATTCCATGGATGTGGGACCCAAGCGGGATATAGTCAGTAAGTGGGTCTGAAATAGGTAATCCCAGACAAAAAGATGAAGACAGAGCTTCAAAGACTACGTCTTTATACCCGTAGAGTAAAAGGGTATTCTAGATTGGTTGAAAAGTATGTAACAGGCAGAAGGAAGCGTTTCCGAGCATATAAAGTATATATTCTTGATCAGGATCAATAGCCGAGTCTGTCCGTCCGTGTGTCCGTTCGTCCGTCTGTCCGTATGAACGCCACGATCTCTCTTCTTCATCGATCTCTCTAGGCTCTCTTCTTCATAATAACTCTCTAAAAATAGGGTATAATTTATTAAAATTATATGTTAATACACTTTGCATTTTCCCAGAGGAACTGGCTGCCGCTATACGAAAGGAGTCCGATCTTCGGTTCGGACTTTACTATTCCCTATTCGAATGGTTCAACCCACTGTGGACCGACGACAAGCTGCATCTCTTGATGCAACAGCACTTCGTGGAGCGAAAGGTGCGGCCGGAGCAAATGGAGCTGGTGCAGCAGTACCTGCCGGAGATCATCTGGTCTGATGGCGACTGGGAGGCGCCAGCGAAGTACTGGCGCTCCGAGGAGTTCATCGCCTGGCTGTATAATGATAGCCCTGTGAGGGATACGGTGGTGACCAACGATCGCTGGGGTTTCGGCACTGCCTGCATGCATGGTGACTTCTACAATTGTGCCGATCGCTTCAATCCCGGCGTTCTGCAGGCCCACAAGTGGGAAAACGCCTTCACACTGGATCGCACCAGCTGGGGTCAGCGATTCGATGTCTCTTTGGCCGATTTCATGACCTCCAAGGAAGTCATTAAAGGTGGGTACAGTAATGCAAAAAATCATTTAACAGATTAGACTACTCCTCTCACATTTCGCAGAGATTGTCACCACCGTGAGCTGCAATGGCAATGTGCTGATCAATGTTGGCCCAACCAAGTTTGGAACCATTCTGCCCATTTTCGAGGAGCGTCTAAGGGACATGGGTCGCTGGCTGGAGATCAATGGCGAGGGTATTTACGGCAGTGTGCCCTGGATTTATCAAAACGATACCCTCACCGCAAATGTTTGGTACACGCGACAAAAGGAGGCATCCAATGGAAAAATCACCGTTTACGCATTTGTGCTGGAGTATCCGTACGACACCAATGAACTGGATATTTATCCGCTTGGCAAGGACGTCAACATGTTCCAAAATGTGATGTTGACTGGCATCGACATGGGCACCGGTGGCGATGTCCTGAATGAGCAAAGTACCCAGGTAGTCATGCTGGGCATGGAGGACACAACAATTAAGGTATGTAACATTAGCCACTAATTAATAGATGCAACCTAACTTTCTTCTAATACATTCGCTTTAGTGGGCTGCTGTCCGTAACAGGTTGCACATCGAGTTTCCACCCAAACATCACATTGACAAAAGAGGCCTTAACTACGCCTGGACTTTCAAAATAACTATAATGTAGTCATGGCCATTTAACCATGTATTATTAACCAGACAAAGTTACTTTCGTTTTATACGAAGGAAAACACGCTCAACTCATTGCATTAGTATATTGTATCAGATTGCGAATTTCCTTGAGTCTAGGTGTGTTTCTATAATGTTCTAGGGAGTGGTGTCCGCCTCCGGCTTGGGAACGCCTGTCCGGTGCTTGTGGGCCGCCAGTTGTGCCCGTGAAAGGACTCCGCCGTCGCAGGAGACGCAGTGGTAGTGGGTGTGCCGCTGGGCGTATGAGCAGCCGGGGGAATCGCACTGCTCGTTGCCGGCCACCTTGCGGAATCCCGCACTCCGGACGTAGTCCTGGCGAAGGTGCAGTCTTCGATGGGCCACCACCTTGTTCGAGTCCGTGCACACGTAATCGCACTTGCGGCAATGAAAGTGCGATGTTTTCCTAGAGGATGCCGCCACTGCCTCTGTGGGATCTGTAGAACAGGCGCAATCAAAAAAATGCGCTGATAATTCTGGGATGGCTTACCTATCCGGTTTTGGTGGTTAGTCTCCGTGGCCGTGGCAGTTGCAGTGGCATATGAGCAACTGGCCACTCCGCATTGCATGTTGGCCCGGAATTGACGGAAATCGTCGCCCATCAACGTGTCCATCCGCTCATGTCGTGCCGTATGTTGCACAAAGCGGGTCTTGTCGCAGAAGCTGTAGTGGCAATCTCGCCGGTTGCAGTGGAAGTGCGACTGGTGATTCCGGTAGCCACACCGCTCGAATCCGCAGTCCTCGTTGAAGCGGAATTTCAGGTAGCCACTTGGTATGTCGTGATCCCGGATCCGTTTCACCGCAGTCCTCTGGCCGGAATTCATCGTTGTGGTTGCCGCACTTGCCACCGCACTTGCCGTTGCACTTGCCGCTGCATTGAGGAGCATTAGCTTTTGTTGAGCGGCATTCTCCAGCAAGAGTCGCATGTCCAGCAGGGGTCCTGAAACTGCGGGACCTGCTCCTGATCCCGGTAACGCCAGTGGTTGGCTGGCTGCCGCCAGAAAGCTGGGCAGCAGCACCTGTCGCTGGTACAAATCGATCAGCTGCTTAAACTGCAGCAGATTCATATTCAAAGCTGGTCCCACTGCCGCCGGTGTGGCTGTAGCTTCCTGCAGAGACGAACGCATGCTCAGATCCTCCGGCTGGTCCACCTCCAAGTCAGCTGACTCCTGGCGACTGTGATATCTCGAGCTACACACTTCCGGCGTTTCTCGATGGGCAGCTGATTCGCAATTCGCGTTCTCCGGATAAAAAGTTCCCGCCGCTCGAACAACTGCATTGAATCGTAAGTTTGAATAAGTCAAGTTTCGTATGCCTGAAACTAAGCCAGCTTACCTGAAACTTTGTCCAAAATCCTGCTTGATGCACTCCTTGACGAGATTGATTCTAGAGGTTCTGAAGGCTGTAAGGTGGGCTGTAACCACATTAAACAGATATAAAATAAGAAATACAAGTTTATTTGTTAGGTAGTTTCTTGAACAACTTTTACCTGGGCTGAAGACTCATGGCGGCTACTCCGAGACTCCGTCTCACTCCGCGCTGCAACACGGGGCACTTGAATGGCGCTTCTCTTGCCAGCCTGCTCCACAGACGACGATGATGACGGCGATGGCGCCCAGACGCGACCCCTTTTCCGGTAGCGACTAGGTGTGAGATCAGTGGCTGATCCATCCCGATCCGCCAGAGACAAGCGATCCTCTGCAGTGGCCCCCGTGGCGGATGAGCCACTGGGAACTGGTGCTCCTGGGCCGGAGTATTCGCTTCGCTCCAGCTTGAAGCTGGTGAAGATGGCCTGCGGCGAGTGCTGCGCCTGTATGGGCATCATAAAAATAGAAAAACGCATATCTCTGAATTTGTTGACAAACGAAATCTGTGTCCAAAATTCCACGCAGCAATGTGGGGGCGCCTTTCATGGAATTAAATTACTTTGGCATGGCAGGGCCGTACTTGCTGCTGTTGTCATTGTCATAGTTTTCGGATTAAACATTTTGGATTTATGACAAACAGTCGGCCGCAACCAGTTTATTACTCGTATTTCCGAAATTACTGTTAATGTTTGTCGTTGGTCCAAAATGTCACTATTTAAATTTTGTTCACGCATCAAATCAATAATAAAATGAAAAAAGAGAGAAAGAACGAGTGAAGTGAAGTGAAAAAGCCAAAAGCAAAAACAATGGAGAAACCATTAAAAATATCAAATACAAGTGCAGCTCATGGATACCCTAAAGCAATCCAAAAATAGGCTTACGAAAATGGTAAACAAATATTTACCACGAATATGGAAAATAAATAAATTATAATATGGATGGGCGATATGAAAAGCACAGAAGTGGCTTCAAATCACTGCAAACCCTATATAAAACAATGAAATCTTATGTGCCAGTTACACAAATTTCTACCCTTGAAGAATCCAAATAGTTTCACTTGTGACAGTGTATACGGCACTCTCACATTTACCCATAACAATAATTACACCGAAAATATTGAAAGACAATGAAACGAGTTTGCCTTTGCCTTTGGCACACACCTTATTTGATTAAATGCGATACAAGTGTGTATGGGAATTATTATTATTATTATTACTGCTGTTGCTAATGCCGCGTATCACTCCTTTCTATCGCCATTTGGGATTATCGAAGCGGTTTCAAGGGATCAAAGTGGGCGGCGCTGCGCGAGGAGATCCACCCATTGCACCACCTTGATTCCCGACTCCGATTTGGGTCACCCTAGCCCCCACCCCTTCGGCTCCCAGAGTTGGCACGGCTTACTTCCCAAAAGAATGCCACAAATGGCAATCGACAAAATATTTATTCAAATTTGTCTTTTATTCACCCAGCGGTACACTGAGAAAAGGGGATGCAACTTTTTCGGGCAAACCTAATGGGTTATGTCTTGGATGTACAACTTTTAGCTGATTCCTAATATCCCTTAGAATTCATAGGTATTTTCAAAATATTATATTAATTTAGATATAGGGGGAATGTTGTTTAAGAAACATTTGGGATGTTTTTGAAATAAAATAAATGTATGTGCTAGTAGTTTGAATGACTACGTTTAGGAGCCAATTAATGACCCAAAACTTCAAAACCCCAGTTTCTCGCAACCCTTTTTTTGGAATTGACCCACATTTCTCGCGGTGTACTGTCCATGCTCATTGTGCTCGCCAAGGAGAGTGACGCGTGGGCTGGGTAATCGTAAACACACAAGTGCGATGTGGTGCGTGTGCATGAGCTTGGCTCGAAAAAATGTAGAAATTATGAAAATGACAGTTAAAAGCACATAACGCTCGTCGCCTGGGCAGCGCTGGGGAGGGGTGAGGGGGGAGGGGAGTGTATCGAGGGGGAGTGGGTGGCCAAAAGGGGGATTATCGGGGGCAGGTGGCGGAGTGCCAAGAGAAGTGCCGTCGACGTCGCTAGACGGGCAGCAAGTGAAATAAATGCGGAAACACTCGTTGTCAATATTAATATGACGAATATGGCAAAAACCAAATCCGAAAACTCAATTCAACGCACAGCACACTAAATGCCGCATTAGGCACCCCCCCCCCCTCCCTTTGGCGGGGAAATGGGGATGGGGGATGGGCTCCGAATGGCTGACGTTGCACACAAATAGGCGCAAATTCCTAATTACAATCGAGCCTCGATCGGATCGCAGACAGACCGAAAAGGAACCAAGCAACTGGGTCGAGTCAGAGCTGGAATATTTTCACGAGAACCTCGAGAATAATGGGAAAATGGCAGCAGTATTCCAGGAACATGAACTCTTTTATGATTTCCTAATTATATAAACCTATATCATCAGTTTACTACATTTTAGGCCTTGTAAAAGTGATGCAAATTGTTTTTTTCTAAGTTCTGAAGCAAAAAAGTTTTGAAATTTGTTTTTTGTGTGCGTAGCTATAAAGTATTCACAAATTCAAAAGTGCATCGTATTTTGAAATATACTCACGCTCTTGTAGACCTCCACAAAGCGATTCTTCGGCGGACGACCCCGTTTCCGATTGAAGAAGCCATCGATGGAGGTGATCTGGGTGGGCGGGCCGTGGTCACTTGGACTGGAGGACTCGATCTCCGCGACGACACTGCTGCTGGAGTCCATGCCGTGGTCTTCCCCTAAAACAGCTGGAAAATCAGAAGAGGTGAGCCCGCGAATGGATACCGATGGAAATGCCCGACTCGTGACTCATTCAACCCGCTGCCACTCAGCAAAAATCGAGGCGAATTGCCAGAAAAAGGGGCCTTTGACCACCTTGAAAGGTTAACACCCGATCGGAGGTCAGGTTTCGGCGCCAAACCCTTGGCAATCGCAATTCCAGTTGCACTTGTGCGATTCTATTCCTCTTTCCCCACAGCGATGCATTCTTTCCACGGATTTTGTCAATGTGGCTATAATTTTTGCGCTTCTCATTAGAGCAGAAAAGTATTTGCTACTCGTTTGGTTTTTAAAGTGTATCCCGCGGCGAAGAGACACCAACTGTCGACTTCGCTGGAACACTTTGCATACATGTGCTGCATATGACTCGATAGGGATCGATATTTGGCATGCGAGCATGCGGGTGGCACTGCCAACCAATTCCCCAGGAGATGCCAGCTGGATTAGTGGCGAAATCTGTGGGGCAAGTAAGTGGATTCCCGCCCTGCCCGCCACCGAGTACAATGGTTGTCAAAGGGCTCGGCGTAATGGGTGGTCCCACCAATTAAGAGGATCTGGAGCTCCTTGGCCGCCGTCGGCGATTGTCTGCCGGCGATTAGTCCACCTGGAAACTGAATGCCTGGCCCAACTGCGCGATAGACATCTACATGAGAGAGAGTTTTAGTCATTTATCCATGTCCATATTATTCAATTCACTGCCAAGGAGCCGAAAACAAAAGAGCCGCGATTCTTGAGATTGCCCAGCCATTAGCCAGCAATTGACAATTTGAAGGGGCAGGCAGATTTATCTCCACATCGGGCACACAAGCACAAGCCACTCGCAGAGTCATAGCCATATAATACCACCCACCCACCAATTATAAGTCGCACATTGCAGTTTGCACTGGGTTTCGTATCCTGTCCAATTGCTTAATTGCACTTATTTGTCGCTTAAGTCGGATCGAACTTGGCTCAAACCGCCGCCGCCTTTATATACTAGGTACTATCCACCGAAACGCGTCCACCAGCGACGAGCAATGGCACTCGAGTGGCGATCGGATCGCAAAAGCCGCCGATTCGAGTCGGGCCCAAACCGAATTCGGGCCCGAGCCGAGTGAATCAGCTGATCCATTGACCAAGTCATAACATAAGAGCCGAATCCACATGCAACTTAGAGCCGCAGCCAAGGCATTGGTAGCAGATACATGCGAAGATAGCATTGAATACCTTGAATGAATTCCTTCAGAACCAAATTGAAAATAAACGCACTTCAGACGTATGCAGTTCAACTAATTTTATTAATTCTTACTTATCAAGTCAATTGATGAAAACGAAAACAAGGCGGAGTCGGAGTCGAAGGCGAAGTCAAAGTCCTGGCCGAGCTGCAGGGGTGCAGGGGTCACATCGTTTGGTGCGGGAGTGGTTCGAGGATCCTCAAGGAGACGCCTTACAACAGCCACTGGGGTTCGCCGCAGACGCACTGGCGGACCTTGCGCTCCAGATTGCGGAGTATGTTGTTCAGGTCCTGGCACAGTGCATCCCTCTTGGCACATCCTTGGCAGGGTTCGCCTCCAGGACCGCAGGGCTTGCAGCCGCATGGCTTGCTGGTGGGCCTAGCTGTGGCACGCTTAGTTGTGGCACGCTTAGTTGGGGCACGCTTGGTTGTGGCGCGTTTAGTTGGGGCACGCTTAGTTGTGGCACGCTTAGTTGGGGCACGCTTGGTTGTGGCGCGTTTAGTTGGGGCACGCTTAGTTGTGGCACGCTTAGTTGGGGCACGCTTAGTTGTGGCGCGTTTAGTTGGGGCACGCTTAGTTGTGGCGCGTTTAGTTGGGGCACGCTTAGTTGTGGCGCGTTTAGTTGTTTTGGTGGCCCTCACAGTGGTGCGTCTGGTTGTCTTGCGCTTAGTTGGGTTGCGCCTAGTTGTGGCACGCTTAGTTGTGGCACGCTTAGTTGGGGCACGCCTAGTTGTGGTGCGTCTGGTTGGGTTGCGCCTAGTTGTGGCACGCTTAGTTGTGGCACGCCTAGTTGGGGCGCGTTTAGTTGTGGTGCGCCTAGTTGTGGCGCGTTTAGTTGTGGCCCTAACTGTGGTGCGTCTAGTTGTGGCGCGTTTAGTGGTGCGCCTAGTTGTGGCGCGCTTAGTGGTGGCCCTAACTGTGGTGCGTCTAGTTGTGGCGCGTTTAGTTGTGGGCCTAGCTGTGGGGCGCTTAGTTGTTGCGGTGCATTCAGCTGGCCTTGTGGGTGGCGGGCAGCGAGTAGTTGTGGGTGGCGGGCAGCGAGTAGTTGTGGGTGGCCTACAGGTGGTGGTTGTTACTGGCGCGCAAGTTGGCCTTGCTGTGGTGCAGGGCTTGGGAGTGGTTCTTTTGGGGCAGCCACAATCCGAACCGTTGGCAACATGGGCGCAGGCAATAAGCAGGATCCCAACTGAGGAATAATATCAGTGGATGAAATAGTTGTGGCGAAAAATACCGATTCCAGGAGCGATCGGTGCAACCTACCTAGGGCGGTGGCAATGGTCAGCTTCATGTTTGTTACTTGATTGTCCGCAAACTGATACCTTTCATGGAGAGTCCTCACCTTTTTATAGGTACATTTTCCTCTGAAACTGCAATTCTAAAAATGGAGGCAGTGTGTCGATAATGCAAACACAAGCCGCCTTTTCGTGTTTGCTTGATTTTTTCGGGTCGATTCGATCGTCTGGACTTAATTTTAGAAAAAACGTGTAGAGCTGTTTTGCAGACGCAATGCGTTTATTTTTTGAACACTTTATTTAAACTTTAATATTAGTCTTTATTATAGGCTGGGTTTATAATATAACATAGGTTCTAACTAGGTTCAGTTTCGCAACTAGTCGAATACAAATACAAATATGAGTTCTACTATTTCATTTGATGAAGTTAGCTTATAGTAATTGCACTCTTAAAATATACTTTTAAGGTTTGAATTAGGATATACTTTGGGTAATTTGCGTTTCGACATGCTATTTTACGTTAGATCAATGAATTTACATACATCTACATACATCTTCCTTACTTGCTAGCGGATACCCAAACCTTTAGTTCATGTGAATTCTAGACCACTCAAAAGCAACAAAATTTTCCAAAATCCTTACCTATTCTTAATCCCCTTAATAAATCCGTACAATTGAAGACGCCTGAAAGTAAATATAATAAGAAAAAACAAGAGAGTACACATTTTAACATTTAACATTTTACGGGCATATACATAGAAATGGGGGAATACAATCATCAAATGGAGAAAAATTATAAGAGTTTTCAAAAGTTCGGGCGTGACAGTATTCGGTCGTTGGTGGGCGTTAGAGTGGGCGTGGCAACATCTGAAAAACAAACTTGCGTTGCGTCTATGGCTTAATCTCAACCGTCTAGCTTTCATAGTTCCTGATATCTCGACGTTCATACGGACGGACAGATGGACGGACAAAGAGAATATAATATAAAGAACAAGAACATATAACAAGAATGAACAAGAATATATATAATTTGCATGGTCAGAAACGCTTACTTTTGTCTTTTACATACTTTTCAACAAATGTAGTATACTGTTTTACTTTACAAGTAACTGGTATATTATGATATTATATATAAAAAATGTTTTCACAATGGACAACAATTTATTAATACGATCATTAAGAATCGCAGATTTTTAAGTATAACTTAAGAATTCCTCTTCTAAATACCGAACCTTTAAAATCATTCCTTATTTGGTCACGGTCTTATGTTGTTAAAAAATCACCCCAAACCTTCATATGCACCTTTAACCTTGGTCAAAACTATTACTACTAAAAATACTACTAAAAACATCTCCTACGACTTTTATCGCGCTATCTCGAATTAATACATATAAGTACATATACATAATAAAAGTATGCAAGAAATCTATTATTTCCTCAATTTTTTGTTGGTATCTCGATTAAGTTTTCGGTCATATCATGTTTGGCTTGGTACATTGTTATTAATATCATAAACCTTTATACAGCTGTCTTAATCACTCGGTAAGCCAATGAGTCGGCGTATATTGATTGAAAATATTTGATATACGTTAATAAGACCTACTTCGTGTGGAGGAGGGAAATCATTTTGATAATTATTATTTGTACTCAATATCCCTAGAATAAAACGGAAGCAATTCCACTATGAAAGGGTTCATTCCAACTCCAGAAAATCGCAGAACACTGCAACTCGCAAATTCGATATAATTTTAAGTTATTTCACTTCGGACTCTTCCCCAAATTCTAGCACATTTCAAGATGAAGTTCCTATTCGTGGTAGCCCTATTGCCCTGGCCATCCAAATGGCTCACTACAACCACTGAAGCCTCCACTTCAACAACCACCGCGCCAACAACGACAACCACTGTAGGAACTACCATGATGACACCAGCCTCTTCCACCCACAAAAAGCGTTGTTGGTGGCGCAACAACTGGTGCCACAACCGCATCCCCCGGAGGAGGTGCAAGCACGCAAAGAGGTGCAGGATCGTCGTGGTCGTGACCCGCAGGAAGAACTAGTTGTGACACTTTCCAAGGGATGCATCTCAAAATAAACACTCCAAGACAGCCAAATAAGTCAGTTCTCCAGTGGCAAGCATTATAAAGATTGGGTTGTGCAGAAATGATAACAGTTTTATTAAAAGGGCTGGAAAGCAGATAACAGGTTTGCTGATTGCTGATCAGGTTGAAGATACATCTCTAGAGCAACCATTCTTGTTCTCCGCAGACGCACAGACGCACCTTCCGCTCGAGATCACTCATGATGTTGATTAAATCTTTGCAGAGGGGAACCCGTTCAGGACAATTAGCACACGCCTTGCCACCAGGTCCACAAGGCTGGCATCCACACGCCTCGGATGCGGAGGCAAGATCGCAGCATCCGATGAGCAGGATGCAGGCTGGTCCAGGATTACCGCAGGAGTAAGTGGATTAGGATTAGTGATAAGGTATAACTTTCCGCACTTACCAATGATGGCGACAACGATCAGCTTCATGGTTGCTGCTTGCTAAGTTAACTTTTACAGATGGTACCGGTCCATGAGTACTCTACACCTTTTATAGCACAAAGTATTATGGAATCAATGGAAATTTTAGCGTTTCCATCCAAAAATAAAATACACGTATATCGGGCAAACCATTTGTACTTATGCAAATAGAAACCCCATATTGAAGTTCGCTCACTGTACTCGCTAAGTTTTGTAGCATCTTTCGGATGTGCTACTAAAATGGCATCTATAAATATAATATTATTAATATGTAACATTATAAATTCCTTATTATTATTGCACGAAAGTATTCCTGATTACAAATGAAATCCAAATACTTTACAGCACTTTGAAAAACACATAGATAAAACCTTAAGATTCCAAAAATATACAAAATGCATTAAAACCTATAAGCAGATGATTTCTAAAAATAAGAAACCAGCTGGAACGTGTTTGGTGTTTTATTTATTTTAATTCAATTGGTTTGCCCAGAATTTTTTATTTTTGGGTGCGCTTGTCAAAATTTTTCCATTGATCCACCCAAACTCTTGCCGCTATAAAAGGTGTGCATTTCCCTGAGTTGGTACCATCTGGTAAAGTTACCTCCACCTAGATACAACCCAACCATGAAACTGATCGCAGTCGCCATTATCGGTAACTATATAATAAGATCATCCCCAATCCCAAGCCAACTTCAATATCTCGCATCTCATCCTCAGCTTGCATCCTGCTCATTGGATTCTCTGACCTTGCCTCGGGATCCCAGGCACCCCAGGGATGTGGATGCCAGCCTTGTGGACCTGGTGGCAAGGCCTGTGCTGGGTGTCCCGAAAAGGTCCAACTTTGTCAGCAGCTCATCGGCGATATTCGCAATCTCCAGCTGAAGATCCGGCAGTGCGTCTGCGGAGAGCCACAATGGATGATTTAGGAACCTGCTGCACTTAAATATCCTGAAACTCGTCCCTAATAAAATTGTTATTACTACTGCAAAAACGAAGTCGCAAGGAGTCGTGTCCTCTGAAGGTATTTTATAATGTTTATTTCAGTATAGATCATCCAGAAAAGAGGAAAACTAGTTCTTCCTGCGGGTCACGACCACGACGACGATGCACCTCCTTGCGTGGTTGCACCTCCTCCTGTGCTCGCGGTTGTGGCACCAGTTGTTGCGCCACCAACAACGCTTTTTGTGGGTGGAAGAGGCTGGTGCCGTCGTGGTAGTTCCTACAGTGGTTGTCGTTGTTGGCGCGGCGGTTGTTGAAGTGGTGGCTGCAGCGGCTTTAGTATTGGTACCAGCAGAGGCAGCCAGTTGGATGGCCAGGGCAATTAGGGCGACCACAAATAGGTACTTCATTTTGGAAGGAGCTTAGATTTTTTGAAACGACTGGAATTGGACGATCAGGTGTTGTGATTAATTGAAATCTTACCAACTGCTTTTATAGCAAAACAACGAGATTTCCGCATTCGCTTACTTGTGTGTTTCATATGTTTTTGCTTCCCATAACGCACAGTTACACAAAAAGCGAGTACAATAGTAATGGCATTTAATAGTCTAATGTATGAACAGTAAACTAAGACTGTTTTTGTTGACACGTTTATAATATCAACAATGAAATGGGCCACTGTTCTTGAGGATTCTCCAAAAAGTATGCAATGATGTTTATTCAAGAGGCTTGTATTTCAATGTCAAGACACTGCAAAATATTTAAGACGAGTTGCTGCAAAAAATAATATTAAGCAGAAGAAAAAACCACATTACATTTTTTCACATTTAAAAAATTTATTGTTTTTTTTTGTATTTTTTATTTTTTAATCAACTTTTACACAGAGAAAAAAATTAAATTGCAATTTTTGCATTTGTTTTTTGTTGTTTAATTTGATTAATTAAAATTTGTTAAATTGCTAGAATTTGTTAAGCGCTACTAAAATTTAAATTTGTTTTATTTTCATTTGTTTCATTACATACACTCATAATCATATAGGTAGTATATGGTATACATATATAATATATATTTTATTTCCCCTTCTCATTCTTTCGTTTCAGATCTCGCTTTAGACTTGTTATTCGTTATGGACCTATTGCCACATACATATATATTGGAAATTGTTATAAACATTTCTTCGTCCCATAACTACAAGGTGTACAACACACACTCCAATCAACGGTATTTAGAACAATTTTCTTTCCCTTGAATATTATTTGTTAAGTTGTCGATCAAACAAGCGCAGATTTAAACTGGACAAAATTCGGGAGGGATTCGGACTCTAAGAGTTCTCATAACTGATACTGATTGAGCGTAGCCGCCAATGAAAGCAGATTCTGAAACTCGAACTTAAAAAGTGAAAATGATAATGAAATCTGGCTCAGATTGCATATGGTGGGATAATCGTTTGAATTTAACTTCCTTTCGATAATCGAAGATGCCATACTGATTTCGGTCGCAATTGGAATGCAGATATAATTTCAATTTGGGTACGAGTGCTGTCTAGTATTGTGGGTTAGAGTTATTTGCTTTCGATTTCGATTTGAGGCGATCGTTTAATTGATTTGTAATTTGATTCTTGAATGCATTAATTGGTTCCCTTAAACAACACACACACATACATTGAAAATATACATTAGTACTGCCGTAGTAGTAGTCATAATATTTGCCTTAGTCGGTAACTTTGTAGTCTGTAATAGAATGTGTAAAAATTCTACAATATATATAGATATATCCATCTATTTTACATTCATATATAGAACTTTTCGCATAACCCTTGCATAAATACATATTCATATCCGCTTGCCTATGGGCATGATACTTCGCTTTTGTTTTTGGTTTATCATTATTGTTTACAAAATACTTTGAGGAGCACTGGACAGATCTAAGATTCATTTCTTCTTTGTATCTCTATACAGTTTACACTTATCCATGGAAAACGTAACAGAAAAATCCTCCGAAAACTGGAGATAGTTTCACTACTTCAAAATACAATATTCGATATCCGATTTCATAAAAAAAAAGCTCAAGAAAACCACACAGAAAGCGTTGCGAATTCTACAATCTTACAAAGCTGGCAACATTGTGAAGAAAAACTGTAACCAATTAATGTGGAAAAATATTCGGCAAATGACATTGAAAATTCTACAAATCAAATTCGTCTACAACTACTTGGTTAATAATTTCATAAATGGAACAAAAGTAAATGATTTCAATATTTCGTTCATGCTTTCGGCGAAATGAAATTGTATTTAATATTACTTTGTTTTATTATTAAATAGATCACATTCATGGTTCTATTTCTTCACTTGCTTTGTTTATGTTCACATTTAGTTAGTTAATAAGGTATATTTAGAGATTTTGTTTTCTTCCCATTTATTGCTGCTACGGTGGCCCTATTTACATACACTATATATCTATATATATGCATATAGCATATGCTCATGTGTGTGAGTGTGTTTAGTGATCGAATTGAGATGGAAACGTCGATACTTGAGTTTGAGATGGCTAAAACATTTATTATTCGTTAGGGGGCTTCTTTACTCTTGGCATTTACACCTGGGTTAGCCTAAATAAGTTTAAAGCAAGTTTTAAATACCTAAATTGTATTTTCTCTTGTGTAATTTTCCTCCCGCTCTATCATTTATCATATAATGAGTTCTTCATCTTATTAGTCGAGATCTTTGTGGGATTGATTATTGATGGAAAAAGTATTTGTTAGTTAAAATTATATTATTGCAAATGTTTTTTTGTATTTCTTGGTTTTATAAATAAATTCTTGTTAGCCACTGTGTGTGTGTGTGTGTGTTTGTGTGTAGGTTATGCACGAATAAAATCTACAATTAACATTTCGAATACTTGGGATCGGTTGTATTTTTTGTGGCTTATGTGAGAGCATTATTTGCTTTATCTGTTATTTTCAACAGGTTTTGTTAATTTTGCTTTGCTTTACAATTTCACTTCATGGTTTTGTTATTCTACGCTAAAAAATATTTTAAAATTTATTAACACAGATGACTTTATATTTTCCGAAAGTTTTTGCTTCTGCCTCTTCACAATAGTTACCCATTTTTTAAATAATTTTTTCGCTTCTTTTTATAAATAATTTCACTGTTTAGATCTTTCGTTAATCAAAACAATTTGTTTGCCAACTACCTAGCCAAAGTGTATTCATTCGTGTATATAAGTTAAATATTTTAACCACTTTCTATCGATAATCATCGTCTGCCTCATCAAATTTGTTTGTCATATCGTGTTGTTATTGTTGGTTGTTTTCATTTGTTTGTTGTTAACTAATCTACAGATAAACACACAGCTACGCACATCGAATGAAATCTGCTGGATTTAAGTTTAGTTTCGCTTGTTGTTGTTTTCGTTTTCTTGTTTAATATTAAAATCTTACATTAGAAACACATCAAATATTAGAATTATATTTTTCATATATATCTATATATGTATATATTGTATTCAGCCACTCGGCTACATTTTCTTCGCAAAGTTTGGAACTCTGCACAAAAACAAGAAAATAATTATAATCAATTAAAATAATAATACAGAGCTTAATCATAAATAGGTGGAAATATTTTGAGAATTGTTTGAATCTATTTTACTAGCAATAATTTTGTGTTTTCTGTAAGATTACTGGGCACCGACTTGACAAGGGTCGGAACTTGAACAAAATTTCGAAATAATTTCCATGGTATTCAAATTTTCTGCAATTGATTTCTTAATGTATGTGAGTGTATTCGTGAGTGTGTATGCGTTTATCAGTATTCATAATTATTATATAATATCACATCAACTTTGTTTTTATATTTGTTATTATTAACTTTCCTCTTTCTGCTTCGATTGATCGATTCTGATTCTTATTGTTTGCTCTCATATATATATAGAAAATTTGTTGGATTTATTTTTCTCAATACAGTATATAGTTGTATGTATGTTTGCATGCATTTAGAAGTAATAGCCTAATTGAATCGTGACAAACGACATGTGCCATACATTATGCACTGAAATTATACATAATATATTAGCTACATTTGATTCCTGGATTATGATGATGATACAAGGTGATGGTGTACACACATCCATACATACAAATTGGGATAATACTCTATACTTCCATCCGGGGGTTTTGCCTTTTGTATTCAATTTAAAACGGATCACCGACAACCGTTCACTGAGTGAAGTTTTCTTCTGCTTGTCTGCCTTAACGTTTTACAATATTTTGAATATTCCTTATGGTTTTTTGTGTTCACCTCACTCTATCCTCGTTTTCAATACTTCTTTTTTTTGCGATTTTTTTCGTTTTTCAAAAAGTACCTTTTTTGTTTAAGCCAAAAAGTCAGTCCAATAAGAGTTTTGAGTTGCCTGCAACTGCAGTTGATTTGTTTTTGTTTTCGTTTTGGTTTTTTGGTTTTGTTTTAGAGCTTAGGTTCCAAAATAATTGTTTTTTGCTTTAGCGTTGAGTTGATTTGTTATTTGCAGGAGTAAGTTGATAGTTTGTGGTCCAAAAGTTTGCCTCTAGGGTTAAACATCATCTCTCTATATTCCATAATGAAGATCATGAATCTTGGCTATTGCGACGAAGGAGGCACAACCAATAGATGTTGGTACTGCGATTGCTGCTTTTACTGTTGTTGTTCGGAGGGATTGAGTTCTGAGCAGCCCAGCGTTTCTGGTTCGCACTCCATGCCGCTCCTCCGTCGAGCGACTCACTCGGATGAGTAGAGCTTTTTCTTGGTCAGCGTGAAGTCGGGACTGATGTTGATGGTATTGCTACGAGTAAGGTTTCTGCAGGATATTGAAGTATATTTAGTATTCTTGTTTTACCGAACTTTACTTGCAGGCACTCACTTTATAAACTGCGGCAGCAAGGAGCTCCAGCCGCTCTTGTCCTGCCTCAACGTCAAGTACAACTCGAAGATGGACACCGTGTCCGGATCCACCTTAAAATATGCAATGCGCCTGTAGGGAAAAGACAATGCATTTTAATAAAAGGCGTTCCAGACTTGAATTGGCTTACAAGCAATAAGTTACAATAAGTTGCAATTCTACACCCATCTCCACTCACTTGACTTTGTTGGGCTCGCTCTCGAACTCAATGAAGAGCGTGCAGGCCCGCTCGCCGCAAGGTTCCCGCTCCGACATCCGGATGATCTCGGCGGCAATGCGCTGCGTGAGGTCGTTGGGCAGCGTGACCTCGGTGCAGGCCAGGTGGCGTCGCTTGGCGTCACGCAGCTGGGCCTGCAGTTGCTGCGACAGTTCCCGCACCGCGCTGGCGCTCACATCGTCCAGGTTGTCGGCGGCCCCAAATCGAGCGCCGGCTGTCGACTGCAGCGGCGATGCGGGCAGCGGGTAGTGCTGCTGGGCGGTACTGGACAGCACGTTGGTCATGTAGGCGTGATGATAGGCGGCTGCACTGCCACCGCTTAGGGGCGCCTCAAAGCTGGCCGCGGCCACCGGCGAGGTGGCCTGCTTGGGAGTGCTCATTCCGACGGATCCTCCGCCCGCCAACGGACCACCGCCCCCAGACGATGGAGGCGTGGCCGGTGGGCGGGTGTTGAGCGCCTGGTGCTGCCGCATGTGGAGCACAGAGGCCGGATGGCCATCTACCACGTCCACGTCCAGAATGCCCTCTCCGGCGGCTGTATTTCCGTTCACACCCGCGGTCAGCTCCTCCTCCTCCTCCAGTGGCGCCGTTGCAGCTTGCCAGTCTAAAACAAAAGAAAAGAAAAACGTTAGTTGAGATTCAAGTGGAACATTTTGATTTAATTATTTTAATTATTACTTTCTAATTTGTTGAATTGAAGTAACAAAGTTTGCGAATTCGAACATTAAATGTTAAATTTGGCTAAGCCCTTTAAGCATTCAAGGGAATCTTATCAAATTAGCACTGATGCGAAACAGTTTCCATCGCTGCACGCGGAAACCGGCTGGGAAAGTTCGAGTTACGGAAGTTCAACTGTAGTTTGGATGGCCCATCGACCGGCAGAGTTCCATGTGGGAATGGAAGCGAAAAAAATCAGCTGATGTCTGCAATTCGGGATCCACATTCACGTTCCACACTTGGGGGAACCGGAAAGAGTGCGGTGCGCAGACTCCGCTTCCAGAGAGCGGTGAGGGGGGCGTGGCGGGGGCGGGGGAAATCACCTGGCAACAACAGCTGGAAAATCAGCCGTTTCCCATTTCCAGCTGACGCTCACTCTCTCTGTCTTTCTCTCTCCCTGCCTCTCTCTCTTTTTCTGTGTCCCAAGTCAGCAGTTTATTTCCCCCTCACATCCCCCCTCGAACGGCTTCCTCTCTGTGCTACTGGCTTTTATATCTTTTGCTGTTACTTTATTACCCGACAGAACGGACGATAAAATGCGGAGCTAAACTCCTCTCAAAAACTCAACTATACCGAGCTGGGAATCAAATGGTACAGTGGGGCAAATTGTTTGAGAGTAGTCTCTACTTTAAATTCGTTATTTAATGTGCACAAACATGTAAATTAAGTATGCAATTCATTTTACTGCTTTGACGGCTTACATAGTCTAGCGTGCACTGTGTATACAGACATATATCACGATGCATATATAATGGCAATATTTATATAACTAATAAACGACTCCTGTTTCCTAAGAATATCATAGGAAAGTTCGGTAAATGAAGTTATCTGCTATAATGTACATACATATGTGTATGTACATTAAGTGCCTTTGGAAGACTTCAAAAAAGTATTGAATATTTAATATAACATGTTTCCTTTAATTTTTAATTTTACTTTGAGTTTTCTATTTCCTTCGATGCGATTTTGGCCCAGCAACAACTTTCTACTCCTTTCGAGAAACTTTGTTCGCACAAAGTGTGTGTGAGGCAGTGCAGCGAGTACAAATTAACTACTTGGCTTGTCTCGACAGCGTCTTGTAATTAGCGCGGAAACTCTTTAAAGGGGGTATCCCCCTCCCTGCCCTCACCCCCTTACATCCTATTCAACCAAGTCTCCCCAGGCCACCCACTGTATAATCATTGCAACGTCGCTGAATGGACAATTTGCTCTCGTTAGCTTTGCATGTCTCTCTCTGTCTGCCCTTCCTTCGCTCACTCTCCCTCTCACTCTCTCTCTCACTCGCTTGCTGTTTTGTTACCCCCTTGAATCTTCTTGTGTCTTCCATCTCGCTCTGGCTCCATGGCACACCCGCGTAATTAAGAAATTAACGGCACATGTTTGCGGCTCTGCATGTGTCCACATGTGTGTGTCTCCCTTTTGCTCCACCACCATCTCAGTATTCCCATCTCGCTCCCACTGCGTATGTGTTATTGGATTTTGTCAAGTGCCGTTGTCTCCACAAAAGGGTTTGTGCAAAGTCAAAAAAGCGAAAGCCAAAAAGAACCAATGAATAATAATCAAAAAACAGACAACGACCACACACTTTATTACAAAGCACACAAACAAATGTGAGCGCTGTATTTATGGATGCATGGATACACTTTTGCCACAGCTGCGAGCAAATTAGTAGCTGTAAAAACCGACTCATTAATGAATAAAATCTTGTTATCTTAGCGAACCAATAAAAACACCAATTTTTGTATGTATTGTAAAGGTAATTTGAGTTTGTAGTTTGTTTGTAGTTAAAAATGATAACTTGCTTTATATCATACGAACTACATTTATGAACATACACATGTGTTTATGTATGTAAATACATACATATGTATGTAGTACAAATTGTTTTTGTAACCGCCAGTATATACATATGTAAATTGAACCTATGTACATATGTACATCCATACAAATGTAGAAGTATGCCTCTGGTGGGTGGTGTTTTTGCACTTGTATGCATATTTGCATTCGGACGAGAGATGGGCATATTGATATTGATGAACAGACATCCCCTGCTCTCTCTTTCTACCAACTTCAACCTTCATCCATGTATGTACATATGTACATGCATATGTATCTCTTTCTTACTTGCCGCAGCAATCTGAAGCCTTTGCGGTTGTGTATTTTGTGCATTCGGAATCAACAAGAACAACAACAACGAGCTCAAGAATGTATAACAATACCTGCGAAAAGAAGAAGCAGCAACGCAGCATCACCCCATACAAGTTAACGGTACACCGCAAACATGACCGTTCGTGTTCTCTTGTGTTTCCCAGTTGCTGTTCAGCTGAGACGAGTGAATGAGACGCACAGAGCTGGCGAAGAGGCGTTGGGAAAGGGAAAGGGTGAGCGATAGGTGAGCTTTGGGCTTATTACTTGGCTCTCTTAATGCGTGACGTCGCTTGGCCTTGAGATTCAATTTTCGTGCACTTCGGTATGGCAATCATGTTCGTACAGTGCACACTGCCTAGCAGGAACTAATAATGTTTCATATCCAAACTCTTGAACCTTATTTTTTAAGAAAAAAAAAGGGAAACTTAAGAATTTGTAAAGCAATGTTCAGTTAAAATATTTTCATTGTTACAAGGTGATTACTGTAGCTCGTATTTACTGTAAGCCATGAGAATTGATAATTCTGACGCATTTATTTTTAGATCTTTCACTTAATTACCGAAGTAAACCGCCTGTACTCTTATCAATTTCGATTGTTCAGTCCCATTCTATTTTGGATCTTCAATAAAACGTCGCTAATCGAGTTAAATTGGTCGTAAGACAGTCCATGAACCGAGCTTCATACATATGTATGTATGTATTTATGTATGATTGTTGCTATCTACATATGTATGTACATACATGTGTATGTTAGTTTTTTTTTCGAATCAATAAGCAGGTTATAAATAATTCATTGCGACCAATTTTGGAAGTCATTCGCATTTGGCCCCTAACGGAAATCTTTGGAAATTGCTTCGAATATAAATTCGACGAACCCACGCATGGGGTTAATAAATATTATATCAACTTCTTGATAACCCTTTTTTGCAACGCCCAACAGGAGAAACTTTGAAAAAGGAATTAAGGCGCCATGGAGCTATGGACATAATATTAACTTATACCTTTCCTAAAATTATTTCTCAATTCTAACGTTGCTAAGAGTCTTCTTATTTTACATGCACACCTTTTTATTTTAAATTATAGCATATTTAAGGGCTTTTAAAAAATATGACTAACCAAAAGTTCCTTATCGGAACGGAAGTATGTAAATGTGGAAATATATGTGTATGCAGTTGATTTGAGAACTATTAGATGGAAGTTACAAATTACAATTACGAAATTTAAACAAATTAATAATCAAATGGTGTATTTTATTGCTGTGCTTAAAGTATAGACTACTAATATTATTTGTAACCCAGCAGTAAATATTCTTGATGGAAAATGAATAATGGCCATGTGAGTGCTGGTGAGGCTGGCTGGTCGTATGTCCTTCGAAAATAAAATTGCATGCGCTCAGTCAGTCATGAAATTAAATTGACTGCAAATACATACGTTGCCAGGGGCGTAGGGGGCGTGGAAGGGGTGGCGCAGAGGCGGAGGTTTGGTGGGGTTTGCAGAGCTTTTTCAGCGCGATGCAAGCAGAAGAACACGGTGGAAATGTAACCAATACGGACCCCTCAGCTTTTTTCACGCCAAATCTGTCCGTTCCAGGCCATTAAGTCTTTTGATTGGAAAAAGTGTTTCGTATTTTGGCTATTTTTATTAAAAATTTAGCACTAAAACATGTTGTGATCTGATAAAAGCTGACTGAGCAACGATTTTCTTTGTGAAAGAATATTTATTGTTCAAAGATCACTTTAATGCAGATAGAATAACCGCTTAAATTCGACCACCTTATCGTGAAAAACAATGTACTTTTGAAAACTTGTTATTGGCAAACTTTTCGATTTCCATTAAGATGCACAATGAAATTTTCGTTCACGCTAAAGTAGGCAACACTGCGGCTAACGGTAAATCTGCGGCAGTATGTGTGCGAGGCGACATGTTGTTGCATGTCGCTACCACCGCCGCTTGTTCTGTTCCGTTGTGTTGTGTTCGCCTCCGGGTGATTTTACATATTTCGCTGTTTTTTTTTTTTTTTTTTTTTTTTTTTGGCTTACGTGCTACGTGGCTATATGGCCGTATGCACATGGATTCCCTTCCTGCTGCTCAGGAGGAGGTCCCCCGTCTAATTTGCCCAACTCAACTGCTTCTTGGTGCCGCGGTGCAAAGTTTAAAGTGACAGGATTAACAGGATGTTGCATAATCCGCCCGCCAGACACATGAACAGGATATGCCGGCCTGGCTTCGGACAGGAACAAAGTGCACAAACAATGCATAATGCGAACTTTACATATTTGCAACCCCAAAAAGGGCACCTTAATCGGGATGCAAAAATGCAAGCGCTTTTCGGGGCAGAATTCGAGGTACTTATTTTACCGAACCAATTTTGTTGGCATTGATCAGTGTTAGTGTTAGTGACGAAGGCTCGCTTAAAATCGAAACTCACTCAAAAACACACGAAGCACTAGGCATACCATTTGAAATGCATAGAGAAATCTTTAGAAATTTTCCATTGGTTGGGCAAAACTTGAATAAATGAATTTTATAAACCCTGGAAAATTTGCTAAAGACATCAAATGAAATGTTACCGTACGCTATAAAATTAATTGAATCAAAAAAAGAGAGAACAAAATAATGGGCCATAAACATGAAATATAAAAATGTTCGTGGCACATTAAAATATCCGAAATGTGCCTTAATTGAGAATTCTTGTGGATTTGTAAGTTCACAAGGTGAACAGCGACCTAAAATTTAGTTTTAGTGCGTGGAAGGGCTTTAAAATTAATCAAGCGGAATAACAACAAACAGTAAATTTTTTAATCATTCAGATTGTTATGGTTGTGCTGCACTTCATATTTATATTTCTCTATAAAAAATGCTATTTGATTTGGCAATTCGGGAAAGCAAAAAATAAATTAAACAAGAAGCCTCTTTCTTTAAACAAGTTGCTACCTATCAATGTATGGATTCAGTTAATAAACACTAAATAACACACTGTTTATAATATTGCAATAATTGTGTGTTTCCTTTTTTTAGAAATGTTCCTACATGTTGTTTCGATTTTTCAAAATTTCACTTTAAAAATTTTTGTCTTGAGCTAAAAGTTTCACCACGCATAACTTAATACTAAACTGAGTAAACGAACATTTGAAACGAACATTTCCTCACACACAACGTTGTAAAAACATTTTTCTTAATATTTACTTTTACTAAAACTAGAAAAAACACAGAAAATCAGAAGTTGATGTTCACTTTTGATATGCAATCCTATCGAGATATTTAACGATCTATATACATTTACTATGTGAACTTACCTTTAATTTTATTAACACCGAATTTTCCCTGAATGTGATTTTGTACTGGGAGCACTTCCATCTTCATAGAGCCGCCGTTGCAACTGCTATTTTGTGTGTTTTCAGCCGATTGTTGGATTTATAATGAAAGTCTGCCGACTGCCGCCTGCTGCGATTATATAGACTTTGATCTGGGCCGACTTTCGATGCGTTTAATATATTGCGTGGGTGTGAATAGTTGTAGTTTAACGTACGTATAGAAATGCACTTTAATCACAAGAATTTGATTTTACTTCGCGTGTGGTTGGGTGTTTTATTGTGTTTTACTTTGTTGTGTGTGTGTGGTGGAGAGTTCGATTTTCCAGCGACAGCGTTTTAACAAACAATTGGAAAAGTATCAACAACTAAATTTGTTATTCTAGTTAAACATTTCAATTCAATACATGCTAAAAAATCAACGCAAATTGCCGCCCCGTTCAGCTCTCTCTCGCTCTTTCCTTCTCGCTTCTGTGGGTTTTGCTTCCCTTTTGTATCTCGCTCTGTCTGGTTTCCTTAATAAATTTAAGCACAGCACATGGTTTTGATTTAATTCAAGACGTTCTTGTTGTTTGGACAGAGATTTTAATTTCGCATTTATCTTTTCTTTATCTTTGCTTTGCTACATATGGCGGAGTTTCAAGTGCTGATGGCTGCGTTTCGTTTGTAGAAGTATTCTATTCTTTTCTGGTTTTCCGCTTTTCTGGCTCTACTTCTTCGTGTTCTGCCCCTTGTGTGCGCCGATGTGCTGTGTTCGGCGGCCGCGTTTCGACTGCGGGTTTTTTCAGAAGTTCGTGTGAAGCGTACTACAAAATTTTCACTCAGCGCTCGCTCAGCTGTGGCTCCTCTGTTTCTGTTTCTGTTTCGTTTTCTGTTTGTGTTGATGCGAGAGCGGCGCGGCGAGAGAGCTTGGAAAATGGCTGAATCAGAAGAAGAAGAGGACGATGAAAAACTGGACTGCGGCAACGGCAACGGCAACAACTTCGATAACGGGACACGCTGGAGAGCTGAGCTGAGCGGAGCGGAGCAGTTTTCCAAACAGTTTTCCAAAGCTACTATCCGGCCGGCTCGCGTGCTGCTGCTTTTATACCAATTTTCCACGCCGGCTGCGCTGCCGGCGTCGCAGCTTTTCATTTTCCTTTTCCTTGGCCGTGAACTCTCTCTTGAGCGGCTTAGCACTCTTTTGCCGCCAGCTGCGGCCGGCGATCATGTGTTGCCATCAGCTGTTGTTGAAGACCCTTAAGAGCAGTTGAGTGGCTCGCTCTCTTGAGAGTTTTTCTGTTTTGGTTCTGGAAAACTCTTGAGCCGAGTGAAAACTGGCGCTCTCTTTGAGTCCATTACTGCAAAAATAATTGTTAAAGGCTTAAGTCTAGAATACATTGTTAATTCTCTTTATTGCTATCTAATACATTTGTGTAAGCTTTTGTAGTTCAATATCTTTATCTTTTCTGGGCTTAAGAATATGTTTATCATCTGCTTAATTTCGAAATTATATAAATTAAGTTTAGACAGCAAAAAATATACTATATCTTTGCAAATTTTAAAAACTTTGTTAATTATTGTTTTTTTATTTTTCGAAATGCAAAAGGAACATATAAAATTGAAAATAATTTGATATCATGAAATATATGCCCCAGAGGCTTTTAAAATAAAGAGATTGTGTTGTTACTTAAGAACCCAAGTATCTAAATATTAGTATAGCGTTCTGTAAAGAAAATCGCAAATTGCAAGAGAAAAACCTGGAGGCGGTTTTCCGTAATTTGGCATTTTAGTTTGTTCCTTTTTTTTTTATCAGAATCTCGTAACAAAATTTATGGTGTTTCGGGGAATATGCCGACTGCACAGACTGCTATTCATATGTATCTACATATATTGTATGTATGTACATACATATATGGTAGATACATAAGTACATATGTTGATGCTCGTATATCTGGCCTTTGCCGGATGACAAGACCCATTGTACCGCCTCCAGTTCTGCTGCGAACGGAAGGAGGGGGGAGTGGGGGAAAAACAAGAAAATGGATGAAAATGCTTCGCCGACACAGGACACAGGGCCTGTCACTGTTTTAACAATTCATCTTAATAGAAATAAAAAATGGCGCCGCCGGCGTTGGACAGTCCGGCTGACACCACCCGCCCCCTTTTCACCACCCCTCCCCCTTCCACCAGCCCCACTTTATCCACCGATCCCCCGATTTTCCCAGTCCACCCACTCCCCTTTTCCTATTTGTCACTGGCTCGTTGTGGGTGCTCCGCTCTCCATTGGATCGGCTTTGGAGAAAGCATCCGCATTTCCCCTTGTCTAGCTGATGCTGCTTTTTTTTTTCTGTGTGGCATTGGGGGATTTACACATGTCAGTTAATGCTGAAAAAATGTTTACACAACACAATTGCCTGGCGGAGGGCGCGGGGGAGTGGCACGGCGCCCAGCATGGGGCTACTGCCGCACCAAAGTACAGAGAAAAAAAGACACATTCATGCCAAAAAAAAAAAGGCAAAATATAGTCCACGCATCAGAGAAAATCGCTTATTGTATCTACAAGAAAAAAGTAACTAATAATCATTATATACCTTTATAAGAAAAAAATATAAAAATTACTTTATTGATGGAAATACTTCATGAAGCCTTTTAGTTAGTCTTTATTTTTGGATTACAATAATTACCCAAATTGAGAAAGCCTCCAGCCGAAAATGATAGTAATAAAAAAATCTTGCAAAATGTTGTAGTAACTTTCCCTCGCGTTGTTTCCAGTGCACGCCAAAAGTTTTAAAGACCAGCTCTCCCTCATCTTCTTTTGAAATTTTCCTAGCCACGCTGCAGCAGTGTCGAACAGGATAAAAGTCAGTGGCATACAATTAATCAAATGCATGATTTATGTGAGTGAGTTCCACACGAGTTTAACCTAAATACGTCCCGCCGGGAATCAGCCAAATGAGATGTTCAGGGCGGCCGGCAGCTCACCCACCGAACTCAAGTCAGCAGCTTAATAGACCCATCCGCATTTCAAAGACGTTTACTCCACGAAAAACTGGCATTTTTTCTTTTAAAAGTATCTGCAGATGATTACGGAAATACAACTATTATAGCCATTCCAACAGAATTTGGCTCGTTAGTCAAAATTGGTTTGCAGCACTTTGCTGAAAGCAGCAGCAAGTAGTTGTGTAACAAAAAATCACATTGCTACGTAGTTTAAAAGAGCTTCTATTATAGAAGTACTAACGAGAAAGGATGGGTTTTAAAATTAAATTACAACGTAATGCTACTCGACTACGTGATGGGTCCAATGGGGCTACGAAGTAACGTAAGGGTTCTTCTATTATTATTTCTCAACCCATACTAACTTATCAACCATAAATGCTTGGGAATCCATATAGCATATCCATTTGGTTTCAATGTTTCCTTGTGATTTGAAACTTTTCCACAGGTGGTGGTAAGCCGACAGGAAAAACCTTCACGTCTGCAGACACACAAATGCACTTCGCAGGACAAATGTGATGCGGAATGGGAGCCGTAAGAATTGGTTGCTAAAAGCCTCAACCAAAGCTGCTGGGCACTTAGGCTGGCAATCCTTTCTTCGCAGGATCAAAACTCCCAATTCCGAATTCCGAAAGGAACCATAGAAGCTTCGCTGGGATTCCAAACGGGATACAAATGAACGCCTTTTCAACCCAACACCCAACACCCAGTGCCCAATGCCCAATGCCCAATGCCATCCCAATGCCAATCCAACCATCTAGCCATTGCCATCGCCTTCGTCGAATGGACCACTTAGTGGGCCTTTGTGGCGCAGGAGGAAATTGTGGAGCCGGCTCTTCTAATGCGCTGCACGTTTTCCCAATAAAGTAGCTACAACAACACGGGCCGCAATCCTTTAAGTTCTTCGATACATCGCCGGGGAGCCGGAAACTGGAGCTGCCGTAGAGTGGCTTTTTAGTTCTCGCGCCCAACGCTGCACAGCAAAAAAAGGTCTGTTAATTAGTGCTAGTTTTCCTACATACAACTAAAGGAAGCAGAAAGACTGCATTTTCGGAATGTAACTCAATTAATAGGAAGGCTAATGATTTTTTGCGGATTTGCTTATATCGTAGGGATGCTTTAGGAAAGCTTAGGAAATTTGTTAGTTTTTTTTTAATATATTATAAGTGCCTCCAATTATGTTTTCTTTAAAGTAAATACAAAATTTTTCTGAAAATATAGGCATACTATTTGTTTTCTAATTCATCCCTAATACCTGCAAATTGTTGTAAATTTTAGTTTTCCCAGTGTAGTTTTCGGCGCAAAGTTGGAGGAGCAGTAACTGCCATGAACATCGATTTTCATGTGATTTGTGCAGACGTGTTTGGGTTTTATTGATTTTCACTTGATTCCCTCCATATGCTTGAATATACTTAAGTCGGTACGTGCACAGCTCCATCTCCCAGCATCCAGTATCCAGCATCCAGCATCCAGTATCCAGCTCCAGCTCCATAGCCATCCGCATTGGCATTCGGATTCGCATCCCGGGCCATTTCATCCCGCCCCATCCTTAGTCCATCCCAGGTCGCTCATTGTCGACAGCAGCCGAGCACCCGAGCAGCTCTAATGTCAGGATCATGCGAGGTTATCAACATAATTTCGAAAACCACCCATCCGCACCAGGCATCGCCAGCTCCGCTCCACTCCGCCCCCTCCGCATCTTTCTAGTTTATGATGTAGTAGATTTCTGTTTCTTTTCCTGCAGCATCACCAAGATGATGATGACGGCGGTAGTGGCTGTGGTAGTGGTAGTGTGCTACTGCTCCTGCTCCTGCTCCTGATGAACAAGATGGGCGCGTGTGCGGTTTGATAAGACGCCAACGATTCGGCTCCATTTCATTTGACTTTCATCTGCCTTCCCCGGTTTTGGGCCACGTTAAAGAGAAACAGCCCCATTTTAAAGGGGAGCACAACATCCTTTTCTCCTTGCACTAGCGTATTTCATATCAAATTTACTACTAAAATATATACCAAATGGTGGAACGCGAATTCTTCAGCACATCGCTCAAAACAGAAAGACGTAATCAGAGCTGTCATTTAGCTGTCAATTTGCGTTTGGATGGAAATATTCAAATTTAAATTTGATTGAACACGCTGTGCTCCTCCTACGCCGGATCTTAAATGCAGTAGGACTCCAAATCGGAACTCGGAAACCGTGAAGCCGCCACAAAGAAAGTGAAGTGTCCCGAAAGGAGCGGAGAACAAGGCAAGCAATTGCCATCAAGTGATGGTCCCCATTTATTTGTGGCAGTGCTCCAAGGCAATCAAAGGGCCTGCTGGCATTTCTGTGTTTCTGCATTTCTAGATTTCTGGATTTCTGGATTCCTGGACTCGTTACTCATTTCGTTTCGTTTCGGCTGACATCTGACATGATTATGTACATTTGTCCCCTGGTGCTGGTGAGGTCGCTCGTTCCAAGTCACCGCAAGGGCTGGCGCAATTTACATGCCATGTAGAGGAAGCACTGGGAGAAAATAGTAGCACCATATACTTTTGTGACTTTTTTCCTTGAAATTTTAGCTTTCAAGAAACTATAGCCCAGCAGAAAAGCTGCAAAAAACAAAAACAAGTGCCTCGACTATCAGATACTCGTTAATTGGTAATAACTTTTTAATGGCATGTTGGATTTGAAGGATTTTTGGCATAGTTAGAAGGCATAAAGTGCACAGGAGCCATTTTCTTAAACTGTAACGCTTTGAAGATGGTGATTTTGTTCAGTGCACCTCGACGAGCCCAACGACCAGCAGCAACTCTAATCTATCAGCGGTCTGTGCGCTTTGCGCTCACCTCGAATATTTTGCACTTTTCCTTTTGGGCGTCGAGTGCTCCTTAGCCCGGCTTTCTCATTCACACTTCCTGCTCGTGTTTTGGTCGCACTCCACATTCGCCGGGATTGCTTGCCTTTGGGTGGCTAGGAGGACTTGCCTGGCATGGCACGGCACAAGTGTCCTTACAACATTTTTTACTTTGTAACGCAAATTCTGAAGTAAGCATGAATAATGCATGCATTGTGTGTAATTCTTCAAGTACTTTGCCGTGCCGACGACAAGCACACATCAGCGGCCCAGTTG